TACAAGAACTGTAGACGTATTGGATAAATCGTATCTACAAGAACTATAGACGCATCGGATATATCTTATCTACAAGAACTGTGGACGTATTGGATAAATCGTATCCACAAGAACTGTAGACGTATCGGATATATCGTATCTACAAGAGCTGTAAACGTTTGCTTAAATCTTGTTCCTCGGAAATGGAAATTTATATCAAATTCACCTTGTTGGGGCTCTGTTTCTTGATCTTGCCTCTACGAGCTGCCATTATATCTCTGAATCCTTACTCTCCTTTTACCGGTTTTACTGACTTAAATTACAGAAATTCTAAAGTTGTGTGGGTAAAAGCCGAGGGTGTTGGAAAATTTGGATTATTCAGTGAAGCAAACAACGAAAGTTTAGTTTACGAAGTGACTTTTGGTAGCGGACGTAATACAGAATCTAAGATTGTGGATAGTTTTGGTACTCCAGTAAAGTATACGGGAGCTCTCTTATTTGAAGGTGATTATTTCCATACACGTTGGATCCAGTGGACAAATTTCACAATTTCTGCAGGTTCTGGCACAGTTCCAGGTGAAAACACAGCATTCACTTTAACTAATGTGGAAACTCAACCAATTCGGTTTGTGGCTGTCCGCACAAGGAAATATAAAGTCATGGCTATCCTTGATCTGTCTTGTAGTAAAATTCCTCTCGATATATAATTTATAATAAATGTATAAAGATTAATTGGATTATTATTGAGTTATCATGCTGTACAGATTTGTTTATGTTTCTGATACACAATCTTCATCAGGATATTTCTGGAATGGTACCAGCTTTCAGAAATGGACTGCGAGTCCAAGTTGGGTTATGAAAAATATTATATATTACCAGAATCACATGATCACGTGACAATATTGACATAGTGCCGGTTTATAATGGCTGCCATTCAATGCCATGATTTTTTAAAACAATATTTTATTTACATAAATATGAAAAGGGTTGGGGAAGAGGCTTTCGCTTATATAAGCCCTCTTCTGATACAAAAGTTTCATATGTCCAGTACATAATGTTTAAAGATAGTTTTCCATGTATTTAGTGTCAAATTAAGCAAACTATTTGATTAATTGGTGTTTCTAATGAATTATCATGTATTCTTAATCATATCATTATGATCTTATTGCATATAATTATGTTCTTATTGCATATAATTAAGAGTTTAACCAATCATAAATATCCATGTATGTACAGTCTGGATAAACAAAAAAAGACTTTTTGATCTTTCTTGATCGGTCACTCATTGGAATTCTGCTGGTAATTCTCTTCTAATTTAGCTAATTATGAAATTACTATGGACATGTGAGACAAACTGGTATTTTTCTAAGTCATTAGACACTTCTACTCTCTATTTATATAAGATTT